TTTGTCAAGTGTAACACTACAAAATCATCGCATCTCTTCCTCATCACATTCACATATATAAGGCAATGTATTATTACATATATATACACAACACTACAAAGAGAGCCGAGAGGTGGACCTTATCGAACTAATAGAGCGTTTAACAAAATTTCTATAATAATACCCTAATATTGTATTTTCTATATATGACAAAGAGATGATACATAGAGATATATCATTTATGCAAAAGGGAAAGAAGGGTCTAGAATAAAGTAATTACGGAATGTTTCTATAACAGGAGCAATCAAATATTGCAAGAATTAGCCGTTTTGGTTATGAATTGGTCGGTGGGGGTTTGGACTTGTTTATTCCAAATCTCTTTCTTTTCGTAACAAAAATCTGATTACAAAAAAAAAAGAAAGAAGAAATCAAATTGGACAAAGCCAGTGTATATTGCTCAAGAGAAAGGATCAATCGAAACTTACTAGCTGTTCTTTCAAAGCCAGTGGTAAAGTGATTACACCGTAGAGAATGGTTTGGGTGAAAATTTAAAGTATCTCCACAACCACAAGGTCTTGAGCTGTTGCATATAGAATTGGAGCGTACATTCCTGTGGCTTTCTCTATTGAAACGATTGGTTGTATCGAGAGAAAGCCGCAGGAATATACGCTCCAACTCCATATGCAGCAGCTCAAAAGTCTTGTGGACCTTACAAGTTTTTTATGACCCTGTTGATTGCCTCTTTTAGTTTCACAAAATTCTATATATATTCTTTTTCCCCTTGTGGTGTTTCCTAAGCAATTTTCGAACCTTGTAGTAGTAGTTGTGCCTCATGGTTAGCATGTGCTCTCAGAAAACGACCACCACAACAAATAAAACATGTTCCAACAAATCGAAGTCGAAGAATTAATTAGATCACCAAATGAAAAGGAAGAGATGTGACATAAATATTTTATCTACTTATACTTTTTTCACCATAAAAATTTCAACATAATTAAGATTTGAGCATCGAAGGAATTAACGTTTCAATCTACTATACTTGTTATAGTCGCAAATAGTTCATTAATCTATATATAGTTAATCCACAAGATGAGATAAACACACTTTGGCTTGTAGCAAAGAATCGTAGAACAATCGTATAGTCAAAAGTAACTGATTAGCAAATATATATTAATTGCAAAGACCAGTTTTACCAAATATCTGGCTATGTAGGAAATGCTAAAAACATTCCTTTTTGTATTAAACCGTACAAAAAGCTTTTCTATATTTCACAATTCAATATGTATCTCCAAAACAATACAGTGACAAATCAATTTTACTACATCATCGTTGACCACGTTGAAAGGCTCAATAAAACTTTCTCAGGCAATGACAAAACTACATCATCGTTGACCACGTTCAAGGCTCAATAAAAAGGCAAAAATTCTCCAAGAGAAGTTGTTCCCGCAAGTACAAGTGCCCAAAAAAAGAGTTATTGGAACCAACATCACAGTACACTGAGCTGGTTTCTCAGGCCAGTGATCAAAACCGACCCACCATGTCTCTTTATAGACCATAACAAGGTAAAAAACAAAGAGAGATCATTTACCTCTCTCCCGAGTTATTATCTTCTTGGGACTGTCTTCTTAGCTCACTATGACTATGACTATCACTACTTCCTCCTCCTCGGCTTGTCTTGTGACCTTCAGCATTCTCACTGTTGTTGTGCCGCCGCTTTCCCCCTCCTAGCTGGTTTTCAGAAGGGCTTCCCATTTTTCTCTTCCGGTTAGGCATTGTTGAAGAAACATCATCCACCATTTCACCTTCCTCGGTATGGCCAGCTTCGCCTTTGATACCAGCTGCCAAGTGATTCCCATCTAGAATCTCGCCGTGTTCTGTACCCATGTGATTGATTTTGGAGTTCTTATGTTTTCCTTTGTCATCCTCAACAGCTAGTTCCACGTCTTCCAATTCTTTTTCGATCAAATCATCCTCATCCATCAAATCATTCTTCCTCGTCCTTTCACCTTGGAACTTCTTAGCCTCTAGTTTAGCCTTTACCTTATCTCGAAGCAGTTTTAAGTCTTTTGGCGATTGGCTGACCACGGCATCATCCGTATTAACATTTCTAGATTTATCAAGAACGGCACTATTATCTCGAAGATCTGCTGCAACTGTCCTCTCTGTTTTGTCCTTCCCAGATCCCTCAGCTCCCGGTCTAGAATTATGGGCTGGATGAATTTCCATACTATCTTTCATTTCTCTATCTCTTTCCCCCTTCTGCTCGGTAATGACACTACTTGCCTCACCACTCCCATTATCATTGCTCTGGTTATGTGTAGCTTTTGACAAGCCCCCGTGATTATCAGAATTTGAATGTTCATGAGTTGGGCGTGCTGATACTGGCCTAGAGCCAACATGATGAGTTGATCCTCCACCTGCACTACTTTCGACTTCACTTACTTGAGATGCAGGAACACGGTTTTGGTTTTGCTCATAGAGCTCAAGCATTTGGTTGCTAACATCTGCAGTATACAAAAGGAAGTAGATCTTAGCATCAAATCCAGAAAAAACGCATGCAAGTCGAGCAGAACAAGTGGAAACAGACTCTAACCTTCTAGTTGTCGAGGTGTGACATCAAATTCTTGCCACCAAACCTTCTCTCCATCTGATGGTAATTTCACTTTAAGGAACTTGGCAGCAAGGAAAATTGCACCAGCCGCAATGTGGTGAGGCATAAATTGCAGGCAGAGTGACGTCCGCAGACTGCAAGCATCTTTTCATTGTATGAAGACGAAAATACAAGGCAGATAGATCAATCTGAAGCTTTTGAAGGAAACAGACTTTTAACGTACCCATCGTTAACAAAATTCCATGCAACTTGGGCCAGAGCATTTTGGGCGACCTTAAATTTCTTTATTGCTTCTACAAGAGGTTTGTAAGGATGATAAACATTGAACTCAAACCCCAAAGTAGAAAGTACAACCTTTTCTCCATTTAGAATAAGCTCTTTTTGTTGCTCATATACTTCCTGCAAAAGTGAARTAAGTTTAGTACACAGAAGAGAAGTAATAAATAGGGTGACCAACACAGGTTAGAGATCCAAAGAAAATGATAGGAACAGAGGGTAATAGTTAATAACAATGAACAAGCATAACCTAGAGGTTAGTACAAAATTAATAATAGAAGATACATGACAAAAGTGCACATTCACTTATAACTAACTAATCAGGGAAGTAACAGAGTAGAGAAGGTTTGGTAGTATTGGGACCTTTTGCTTAATTTTCTGTGCAGTAGCAGGATCCTTCTTGTGTATTATCTCATATGAGACAACAATAACATCTTTTAACGGCCTTGGAGTTTCTTCAACTTTTCCAGCAAGGAACATGCAGACTGTAGCAATCGTCTGAGTATGGATTGGAGGGAGGACAACATGGAAAAAAGGGCTCAGTAATAATCTTAATACTGTTCAGCTCTAGAAAAAGAAATAAGTACAAAGACCTATATGCCTTATTACTAAATAGACTAATAAGACCACTTAGTA